GTTTGCTCACTGGCTGAGCGTGGTGCTGACAACACCAAGCCAAGGGTTGAGATCCCCTTACCTGTCATCTTTTAAAAAAAAAAAAAAAAGAAAGAAATAATGCTGCACATCTACTTGAAGTAAATGACCAATGTTAAACCAGTTATTTTCCCCGTATAGTATCCTAGTGTCTTTGCAAAATGTATACGTAATTGACAAACTCTCAAACAGTGATATGATGATAGGCCTAGGAGGGACTTCAAATTTTAGTCCTTCCTAGTGAGTATCTGAGTTGATAATAGGGCAAATGTTTCCCAGTATCTTTTCCCAGATGCTTCCCATCTCACCACGCTGCTTTCCTCTTGAGGGATTAAGTACCAAAACTGATTACCTGTAAAGGAAATTCCCCCTCTGCAGACATTAGGGACAGCTGGTTTTTGTTCCTGATACCAATATAGCACATTTCTGTCCAAAGAGCTCCCTTATTTCCAAAGATATTTTCTTCTGATTATACAGGTGCAAAACCTCAATAAAGGTTAAATGATCATTGATTCATTTTTGCAGCACCTGGAAAATTCTTTTAAACCAATACTATGCTACCTGGCTTTTCAATTTGCAGCAGCTGAAGATTTATTCACCAAGGAACATGAGATAGGGAATAGAATAATCAAAGCCGTGAATCCTTAGTCTTTCAGCTGGAAGGTTCTCTGTTCCACATCAGCAGGGAGTGCTAAATTCTGTCTCTGCCAAGTGACTGCCTTTATTTCTAGATCCAGTTACTTAAAATCAGCCTCCTTCCTCATCTGATAGAAGAGTGTGCTATTTTACATGTATAAATTCCTGTGAATTAAGCAGTTGAGTATTTGACTAGGTGGGGGATTATTACATATGGACAATAATGCTTATCTTTTACCTGTCATGGTTTTACTAGTAGAATTCCATGTGAAAGGAATTTTCCAGAGCATAAACATCTTTGTGCTTTTCTATGTCATTTTTAAAAAAAGATTTGATCTCTATAACTTTAGTTAGGGTGGAATTTCTACTCCTGGCTGTTTTTAGAGTTGTGAAACCTCCAGGGACAGTTTAAGCTCCTTCCATTTTTCTTCCCAACTCCTTATTCTCAGAAGCAATATTCTGCATTCAAGCCAGGTCTTCCTGGTTTTGAGACATTTCAGATTTCCTAGTTCTCCAAAATCTATTTTCTTCCAGGGTGATGCCTTTAGAAATATTAGGTTCTCCAAATATCTATTTCATTTAGGTTATCTTTTTTTTTTTTTTTTGGTGGCTGGCCAGTATGGGGACCTGAACCCTTGACCTTGGTGTTGTCAGCCCCATACTCTACCAACTGAGATAATCAACCAGCCCTTGAGTTTTTGATTCTTGCACTATAAAAAGAAATATACACAATGGGATTTAAAGTCACAGTAAGTTTATTTAATTCTTAGAGAATAACTTGAGGCATGATGTGTTTGCATAGATTATTTTAAAATAAGCTTTTCCAAAACATAAAGGCACAAGATCTTATGTAATATGAAGAGACATCGGTACTTATTTCTAAATCATCTATATCCCATCGCTTCTTATTATTTGGAACAGTTGATTATATTGATAAAGTAAAGCAGTCTTACCATTATAACAATCTGCAAAGTCTAGGCTTTCTGCGCTACTATGCAAAAAAATGCAATAAAAAAGTGAATATAACATTATAATGTTATGTTAAAATTCTAAGACTTTTGCATTATAAGAAAAAGATAGCCTTTAATAATAATTTTTTATTTAGCAAGGACTTTCAAAGTGTTGGCAAAGGGGCAGTGCTTTGAATTCATGACCTTTTGTAGTTTTCACAAGATCCCGAGGAGGTAGAGAGATTTTTATTCTTATCCCTGTATTGCAGATAAGAAGACCTGGCTTGAGAAAAGTGAGACAGAGAGATGTTCAATAACTAGCTCAAGTTCACTTAGGTACTGATGGAGAGGTATAACCAGTCTTTGATCCTAGCAAAGTTCTTAACTAGCTTAAACTGCCTTGAGATCTTTTTCATGTTCTATAAAGTAGATTTACCAGAAATGATCATTTTCTTGGAACTTATGGCAAAAACAAAACATCAGTTCCTTTTAAGATGCCTGTGGCAAGTGTCCACTGGCTACATGTAAGTATTGTTTATTATATAGAGCTGATATATATATTGTTTATTATATAGAGCTCATATATATATTGTTTATTATATATAGCTGATGCATTGATAGAACAGATGGATGCCTCTTAGTGCTACTGGAATTTTTGTGTTAGATGAAGTCATTGTATACAATGGCTCGGTTTTCTTCTTACAGTCCCAAACCAGCAATAAGATGTCCTTTTTTGCTCTTTCCTCCTTTTCCTCATAGTCAATGAAGGCCTGAACCAACCTACGGATGACTCATGCTTTGACCCCTACACGGTTGCACATTACGCCGTTGGAGAGGAGTGGGAGCGATTGTCTGAATCTGGCTTTAAACTCTCGTGCCAGTGCTTAGGTTTTGGCAGTGGCCATTTCAGATGTGATTCATCTAGTGAGTAGCTTGCTTTGTCCGTCCACTTTGTCCATCCATCTCCTTCAGTTCCATGCATTTGCACTAATGTGCCAAGCAAGCATGTTTGGCAGACACTGGCTCTTCCAAACATGAAGCAAACAAGGGGATATTTGTTTGACTCAAAGTAACATTTTGCATCATAGAAGAATGATGGGAAATTTTACTTGTTCAATATTGCTTCATTTCAAGGGTTGTATGCCAATACGATTATTAATTCAAGATAAGTTTGTGGTGGTGATATGATTTTTTAAATTTTCTGTTAAAACTAATCAATAAAGTCAAACTCACTGGAGCCAGGTCTAATTAAGAGTATCAGGGACACAGAGAAACCTTAAATCTCTTTTAATCTATAGTGTTGAATGAGGTCAGAGGTGAACATTTACACTAACAAACAATGTCTCTTTCACCACAAACCAAACATACACATATTGTAATACACACAAATATCACACACACACACACACAATCCAGACAGCTTGAACATTACTAATAATATAAAGGGAAGTGTACAGATAATCCATTTATCAATTATTAAGAATAAACTTCAATTGAAAAATATTTGATTTTCAAATTATGAAGGGATTTTAGTTTTTCAAAAATTTTTTTTAATTAAAATTATCCTAGGAATGATCTATTATGCCTTGAGATTTAGTATTGTAATTTATAAAGCTTTAATTTTTCTTTGTTTTTAGGAGATATGATTATTATTGCCAATTGGTTTATTTTTATAGATATTAACCATTATGCCTTATAAACAAGCTTTCTGTGGACATATATAGGAATCATATTCTGTGGAAGTAAAGTAGAACAGATGTTTTAAAAGATTTTCAAAGTATTTTACTTAACTTGTATACATGAAATGGTTTAGTTCAGACAAATTAAAAAAAAAACAACCAGTGCTTTCACTGTAGTCTTCTGTGCCCGACAATCTGAAAATGGAAAGGCAGAGCAGTGGAAATACCATAATACTGTTCAGGAGTTGCAAATTTTAACATTTGGCCTCAACTAGGTGGCTTTTGGCTTCTGGAACTGAACTGCTTTTAAGTTTGTATATTTATTTATCACCTATGTAAGTTAGGCACAATTTTGGGAGCAGAGCCATAAGTTCATTTATGAGATTCTTGAGCTCAACTTACATATCCTTTAAGGCCTAGATGTTGTAATTGTCTAATACCTTTTCTTACACTTTAAGGAAGGCTGAATTGTTGATGAAATGGAAGAGGTAGTGCCTTGTTACATAAGCGTCTGAAGTGTGTTTTGCGTTAGTAGTTAAATATACAGTAGTTAAAAACAGGTAACTGTTGCTTTTGGATATTCCTCAAAACGAGTCTTTTATTTGTAGGGATAATAACCATTGATTTATCATTTTGTTTTGTTTTGTCATCCATGTTTATTCTTTTATCCTTTTCATTTACACAAACAGGTGGTGGCATGTAGAAACCAGCTGATCTTTGTTTTATGGTTAATTGAACTGCTTTGTATCTAGGGTCTCTGCAAAACCAAAAGTGATTTTTTCTTTTCCTAAAGGACTACTCCAATCGTTTCATTTTCCACAATTTTAAGCTGTTTTAAATTCATTTGAATTCTCACTATTCTTATGACATGATTGTGGCAGAATAAATTGGATTTTAAAATGTCCTAGAAAATGCAAAATGGTAAAAATAATATTTGAAAATCTAACCAGAAAAATGGTTTGTCGTGGGGAGCATGATCTTTAACTCTTGTTGCCACGCCTTCCAGGTATGTGGCTTTTAAGATTCTGTGACAAGTCCCAGTGTACTCACCGTCTTGTGAGTCAGAACACACAAATAACTCTGCCTGCGATTTTCTGCACCCTGCAGAATGGTGCCATGACAATGGTGTGAACTACAAGATTGGAGAGAAGTGGGATCGCCAGGGAGAAAATGGCCAGATGATGAGCTGCACATGTCTTGGGAATGGAAAGGGCGAATTCAAGTGTGATCCTCGTAAGTCGTCACAGATCAATTTTAGAGCCTTATTAAACACTCCCGCTTTCATTACTTGGCTATAACTCATTCGCAGAAATGATGGGAGATTTCAGGTCTCCTTGAGGAGTGAACAGTGGGTTTGCTAATCTTTTGATTTGGGAAAGTGGAGACAAGCTTCAGAAATGAGTCATGATTTAGTGTTATTACAGGGCACTTCGGCACTTTTCCAACCTGAGTATTTTGACCATTACCTGCAGTAAATGTTACAAGAAAGCTTTATTGGTCTGTAGATTCAACGTTCAAAATACGATCTCCATCTTCCCATTAGACCCTTTCCAGTGTATTAGATTTAGTTTCTGGAAATGCTGCCCTAAGATCTGTACAGCAGTGTCTCTCTTGTGAATGATTGATACACATGTGTGGGATTTGGGCTATGATGATACAAATTTAGGACAGAAGTGGAACCCACCCCTATATCAAGTCAAGTGTGTGTTATTGTCCTCTGTCTTATGCGTGCTTCTGACTTGTGCCTGACTGTAGATGAGGCAACGTGTTATGATGATGGGAAGACATACCACGTAGGAGAACAGTGGCAGAAGGAATATCTTGGTGCTATTTGCTCTTGCACATGCTTCGGAGGCCAGCGGGTAAGACCAGCTCCCCACAATGTAGATAAGATAAAGCAGGGCTCCTGCACTGTGGAGCTGTGCACGCGGGTGTGTGGTGCCCCTTGTGAAGGGTTCAGTACCTAGTTTCCTGCAGGCTGGTAGCTGCTGACGTAAGACCTTTATCTTACTTCCTGGGCAGCCACCCCCACCAGCTCTCTCCCCCATATCTGCTGTTCTCAGGCTGTCCCTAAGCAACTGAATGTTGTATAGGGCTAGACCTCCAGCTCCATGCTCTGCGGGGCACTGTGGTTAAATATTTTGAATAATACCTTGGATCTAGGAAAACGTCACTGCTTTGTACCCTCTCTCAAACTAAAAATAGATCTTTGTTACAGGTGTAGCACTGTGCTAATATGGGACGACAGATAGAGAATGAGAAATGGTCCTGGCACTTAATGATAGAGTTGGAGACATTGAATTAGGCTACATTGCAAACAAAGTCAACCTAACTAAGGTTCTGACTGGGGATGACAAATACAGTTTCGGACAGGCTGGATTGGCAAGTAAAAGAAGTGTAAACTGGCTGGGGTTTAGGATGGCTAAGATTTGGCTGAGGAGGGGAGGAAGCAGAGGGTCAGTAAGCACACACCCTGGGACAGGAGGGAGCGGGCCCGGGTGGGCTCCAGTGAGCCTACCCTCTGCCTGGTATCTCATGGTTAGAAATCAGATGGGATGAAGTGGATTCTAGAAGGCCTCAGAAGTCCATTATTTAGGCCAGTACTTCTCAACCGCTTCTAATATGTGCCCTACTCCAACACAACAAATCATGCTGTGCCATCCTCTAATATAATTTGAAATTCCAAAATGAAATGACTCATTTTAAATAAAATAAAATAACTCTGGGTCTGGCCATTTAGCTCACTTGGTTGGAACTGGTGCTGTTAACATCAGGTCAAGAATTCAGATCCCCTTACTGGCCAGCCACCAAAACAAACAAACAAACAAATGACGACGACAAAAATAAAATAACTCAAATAAAAACAATGGAACACAACAGTCCTTTGTTTTCAATGCAGACAAACCATCCCCACTTGCCCCCCAGATTCTGATACATGAGGAGCATGCTCCCCACCACAGGGTCGATGCGTTCGGCATTAACCATTCCGGGTTCCCAAAATGAGAAGAAGCATGGTGGAAAAAGGTCTTCTGAAAGATTAATCTGGCAGCAGGGAAAGGTCTTCAGGGACCTGTCTCTGCCCCACCTGAGGACCAAGGACAGCCCATGGAAACTACTCTGATCTCCTTACACCCCTCATGGTTATGTGGGGAGGGAGGTGCTCCCCATCCAAATGGGGAGAAGCTGTGACATCAATCTTTCTCTCTCTCTCACTCTCTCATTAACACTTATAAAGACTGTGATCATTGATCAGTCATCTTGGTATAAACATGTGTGATGGAGAGTGAATTTGTTGTGAAGTAGATTTTGTTCTCACTTCAGCATCTTATTATTTATGCACAGAAACCTTTCATGTGTGACACCTATTCCATAAAGTAATGAAACACTTAAGACAGAAGTGGGAACTATTACATTTTTATATGAAAGCAAGATTCATTGATTCTGTGAGCAGGTATTTACTGGTACTGTGTTAGGGAGTATGGGGAATATGCTCTTAATATTCCCCATATTAATTATGTCTAAAATATTAAAATGATAATATAAGAAAGTGACTGTATTACTTAAAGTTGGCTTTGGTTGTAAGAGAAAAGTTCAATTTGAGTTAAGTTAGGCAAAAATGGCTCACATGATGGAAAAGTCGCAGGGTCTGCTCCAGCAGTGGCATCTGGAGTCTCTTGCTCTCTTCATGCCTGTCCTGTACAGGCTTTGTTCTCCAGTAGGCTCCCTGCGATGGTGACATGGATGACTTCCATCAGCTCCAGCTTTACCTTTTCCAAGCTTAAGAGTAATTGAGAGAGAGAACACATGTTTCCTCCCATTTCCAGCAAAAATCTCAGGGAGGAGCCTCACTGGCCCAGCTGGGTCCTGTTCCCACCTCCCATTCCATCTCTGGCCAGATGAAAGGCTACTGAGTCACCAGTTAGGAAAGTTTAAATGGAGTGCCATGTGATGCAGTAGAGAGAGCATGCCAGGAGTCACTCCATCTCTTCAGTGGCAGCCACAACTCCTCCAGCGGTCCACTGTGTGACTTCCGCACTCCCTCTGAGCAAGGCACTTCTCTCCTCTGGGTCTCTGTTTCCTTCCCTGTAAAATGAGGCTGTTTGACCATTTGATCTCAAGTCACTTTTAAAAGTTCTAGGTTTCAGGGCCGGCCCGTGGCTCACTCAGGAGAGTGTGGTGCTGAGAACACCAAGGCCCCGGGTTCGGATCCAATATAGGGATGGCCGGTTAGCTCACTGGTTGAGCGTAGTGCTGACAACACCAAGCCAAGGGTTAAGATCCCCTTACTGGTCATCTTTAAAAAAAAAAAAAAAAAGCTCTAGGTTTCTATGAAAACCTCTTCTATCATCTAGTGCTGAAAGCTTATTGAGGAAGTAGGGACTGAAATGAGTCTTAGCAGATGGATGGGGTTTGAATTTCAAGAGAAAGGATAAGCATGATTAGACAGAGATATGTACAAGATACAGTAATAAGCCAAAGTGTATTCCAAGAGTTATAAATGCATGAAATCATCATCAAAGCTTCCTTAGTGATTAACTTCTTATATTTTGCTAACACGTAAGAGCTGAGATTCTTCTTTAACTCAAGCACTAAATTATGATGTCCTCCGGTTATCATAAACCTCATTTGACTGAGCATCTCTTCTCTCAGGGCTGGCGCTGTGACAACTGCCGTAGACCAGGGGCTGAACCTGGTTCTGAAGGCTCCACCGGCCACTCCTACAATCAGTATTCGCAGAGATACCATCAGAGAACAAACACTGTAAGTGCATTTGCACCGTGAGCTTCTCTCCCCTGAATACAATTAGCTACATATTAGAGAGTCTCTTTCTGCAGGTACCTTTCTTCTGATTGAACCACATTTTTTATTTTAAAAAATAATCTAATAAATGACAAGTAGAATACTGTATCTATAACATAATTTAAGTTATAATTTATAAGACTCAGAAATATTATCATATCTATAAGCGTTGTCATAGAAATCCCACCCCCCCTTTTTTTCTGTACACTTTACAGTATTTGCCACTAATTTTTTTCTTCTTTCATTTTAACAGAATGTTAATTGCCCAATTGAGTGCTTCATGCCTTTAGATGTACAGGCTGACAGAGATGATTCCAGAGAGTAATATTTCCAACCCGAAGGAACAAGCATGTCTCTCTGCCAAGGTCCTTCCTACTGGAGTGATGTTAGCAGACCCAGTCGTACAGTGTTTGTTTCTTTCTTAAGCCTTTTGCTCTGGAGTAAGTTCTCCAGCTTCTGCTCAAGTCACAGCTTCTCCAAGCATCACCCTGGGAGTGTTTTGAGACTTTTCTCATAAATGAGGGCAGTACGTTGCCTGTTCTGCTTCGAAGTATTCAATACCGCTCAGTATTTTAAGTGAAACGATTCTAGCTTGTGATTTGGTTTGAGATCAATAGGGAAGCATATGCAGCCAACCAAGATGCAAAACATATTGAAATGATGTTACCAAAATTTTACGTAGGAAAGTTACCCAAACACTTCTGCTTTCACTTAACTGTCTGGCCCACAATACTGTAGGATCGGCATGTCCCTATTACTGTGATATTTTAAATATCCACAGTACTCACTTTTTCCAAAAGATTCAAGTGATTGCCTAGAAATATTTTTCTCTTACCTGTTATTTATCAATTTTCCCAGTATTTTTATATGGAAAAAATTGTATTGAAGACACTTAGTAGGCAGTTGATAAGAAGAATTCGGTATAATTATGGTTGGTGATTATTTTTTATACTGTACATGCCAAAGCTTTACTACTGTGGAAAGACAACTGTTTTAATAAAAGATTTACATTCCACAACTTGAAGGTTATTCTCTTTTATATAGGGTACTTTGGGGGGGAATAATAATGGTCATGATTTTTTTTTCTTTTCAATTCAGCAAATATTTGAAAATCTATTATGTGCAGGGCGCTCTCATTCTTGGTGATTTCAGTACAAGTGTCACTACGAAAACACAGATTCACTGTTGTCATTTCATGTCTTCAGTAATGGAGATAGCTTTACATTTTCTGCTTTAACAGATTTAAGTGAACTCAAATATTTATTAAACTTGCTGGCAAGCTCTTTAGAAGTATAATCAAAACAACCTTTAGTTGCTCCTTTCCAACCATTATAATCCTTCCGTCTCTCCACCCTCCTTACCTTCCTTCACTGACTAAACATCTATCCAAGAGATTATCTGCAAGGAAAATAAAAAATGACTGAGATGTTAAAACTACTTGAATAGTATTGTATAGAATTGTTTTGTCTTTGGGAATCTCCATGTTATAATAACCTCAATCCAACTGGTCTTAATTCATGTCAGCTGACACTTTCAGCATGCCTTGATAAACTCCCAGCTAAACAAAGTTTGCTTACTCCTGATCTGCAAAGGTCATCTCCTTTTCAATTTAACATTGGGGAAACAAAATTTGGGGATTAAATCTAACATTCAGAATAGTAATAGTGGCACTAGAAATAGTTGATTATTAATTAGTGAAAGATGAGTGGTTCACAATATGCAAGACGTGGAAAGCACTTTTTAATACAGTACTGTGCAATGAAAGGCAGTATTTCAGTAAATACTTAGCAAGGAATATTAAAACAAATACAGAAAGAGATTTACTCAAGGTTCATTTATTAAAAAAAAAATACTACCTCACATTTCAATTGATTTACACTTTATAAAATGCTTTGACATTTAGCAACTCATTTAGGGGAGGTTTTATAGAGAATACAGCTCTGTATGAGTTTTCCTTAGCAAAACACAGACCCAGACCCTGGGCTTCTATGGAGAGAGAATATGACTAATACCAACCTACACACAGTGCAGTGGGAAATCCCACTGAATCCCACTTTCCGAGAGAAAACAAGCTGGTACCTCCGTCTTCATAGATGAGGTGGTAAAGCAGGCACCTAGGCTTGATCTTGCTCAAAGGTTTTTACATTTAAAAACATCAAGAACAGCTTTGGGTTGAGACTGTTTATACCTGATTACAAGCATAAAATATTTTCTCTAAAATGCAGTTTAAGTAAATATTAATTAAATGGCTAGCAAGCCCTTTTGAGGACTTTAATGCTGAAATGTAAAAACCGCAAGCTCCACAGTTAAGATAAAAAAAATTACCACCTCTTCCAGAATGTCTCCTGGATGCTCAAAAGCAGTATGCTAAACTTACAAATCAAACTCCCAGAAGAAATTAAACAAACTTAAATGACCCTTTCTATTTTGCTATCACAAAGCAAGAATGGTAAAACTTTCCTTTTTACCAAACGTTTCTCAGCAAAATCATTCAAACATGAGAACCAAGTATTTTCCAAAGGGTTGTACATTTTTACTGATACATGTAACTGCTTCCCCTGAACACGGCCAGATTAAAGCAGTATAATTAAAATACTAATATGGATTTAGGCAAGAAACTGACAATTCAAGAATAATCGTAACACTAGTAAATATTATCAGACTTTAAAAAGAAAAATCATAGTTTTGAAGTTTTACCTTGCCTTGCTGCACTCAATTTGTAATGAAATTTATTGTTGTGTATTTATATTGTTTTCAGCTCTAATGACCTAAGTGAATTATGCGAATTAGCCTGTATAATAATATCACTTATAAGCCTGTAAGGCACAGTTTCTATGGAGGTGAATAAAGAAATGATCAGGTGGAGATTACAAGTATAGAAAATGACTTTTCTATTTAATTATATTTCCATTGAAAATTCCGTTCCATTTCTAGTTGTATGAAATGCATTAAAGTGATTAAGAAACATCACATCAGCACATTTAAGTGTTGAAATTGCTTCCTATTCAGTGAGTTGCCGTTACTGTGGTAGGGAAAGTAGCAGGCTACAATTTAAAAATCCTATTTTCAGGATTTACAGTTCAACTATTAAAAGAAAAAAGACAAAAGATTGCTGTTGGGACTTCTCATGTTTTGAAAAATTTAAAGACTACCATTAAGGCTGATAAAACAAGGATGAAGATGACCTTGCACAAGCAAAGAAAGGTCTTTTTCAAGAGTGTATGTCACGTGTATTTGGAGCACAAGTTATTTTCATTACTACATCGTGCCACTTCACATCCTCTCTTAAATAAAAGATTCAATTTGAATTGCAAACAAAAATCTACAAAAAATAAAAGAGCAAGAGAAATGGTGCTTTAGCTGAAAGCCCCAAATGGGAAATACCTTTTTTAACACTGCTCAGTAGAGTCAGGTATAAGATACTAAGGCATGTTTTACATTTCCTTGAATTCCTTTTTACTTTTTAGAAACATGTAGGTTTTGGGCCGGCCCCGTGGCGCACTCGGGAGAGTGCAGCGCTTGGGTGCGCAGCGGCGCTCCCACCGCAGGTTCGGATCCTGTATAGGGATGGCCGGTGCACTTGCTGGCTGAGCGCAGTGCGGGCGACACCAAGCCAAGGGTTGCAATCCCCTTACTGGTCACAAAAAAAAAAAAAAAAAAAAAGAAAAGAAACATGTAGGTTTTAACAGTCTCAGGAGTCAAATTTATCTCTAAAATAGCTCTTGGATGCAGCCCCCAAAGTCTTGGAATTAGCACTGGTTGGGGGCTGTGAGAGACAGCCAGCCTGTGGTGACAGTCTCATCCTGTGCTGACTGGGCTGGAGTCACCTGCCTTGCAGGCTGCCCACCGTGACAAAACACATTTTCCCTCAGGTAAAACACATTGAAGGCCAAGTATTCTCCCAGTGAGCTCTTTGTATCATGGTACTTTGGAAACTACCCTTTCATTCCAGAAGGAAGCACTGCTTTTGCCAGGAGACTGCTGGACCAGACTTTACAATAAAACCTGCCAATTGCTGTAATTCAGCATATTAAGATACTGACCCAAGCAATGAAAAGTTATTTTTGACTCAAAAACATGCCACTTTGGTGGAGGAATTGGAACCCTCATTCATTGCCATGCAAGTGTAAAAAAGTGCAGCTGTTGTGGGAAAGTATGGTGGCTCCTTGAAAAGTTCAACATATGACTTCACAAGTCCACTCCACTCCTAGAAAACTGAAAACATACATTCACACAAAAACTTGTGCGCAAATGTTTATAGCGTCATCATTCATAATAGCCCCAAAGCGGAAACAACCTAAATGTCCATCAACTGATGAATGCACAAGCAAAATGTGGTGTATCGATATGATGGAGTAATATTTGACTATAAAAAGAAATAAAGTACTGATACATGCTGCAACAAAACCTTCAAAACATTATGCTAAGTAAAAGAAGCCAGACACAAAAGGCGCATATTATGCGATCACATTTAGGTGGAATGTCCAGAATAAGCAAATCCACAGAGACAGAAAGCAGACTCGTGGTTGCACAGGGCTGGGGAGCAGAGAGAATGGGGAGAGATGGCTAACAGGCATAGGGTTTTTGGGGGTTGATAAATGTCAGGGAACTAGACAGGGGTGATGGCTGCACGACTTTTTGAATATACTTAAAACCACTGAATCGTACACTTTAAAATGATTACAATTGTGAATTTTACGTTATGTAAATTTTATCTTGCAAAAAAGAATGCTACTTTAGTTACAGAGTCTCTTTAATATCCATTTGCCTATTGGTAAGAAGTGAGGTGTGGGGAAACAGAGTAGATGAAAGGTCAAAGGGACTCAGAAACTTTTTGGCTATCATTTTGGAAACTGAAATAAACTCATCCATAAATATTCACTTAGTCGTTTTCATAGTAATTTTCATACATTAATATTATCTTCCACTACTTCCCATTCTTCCATATACACAAAACCATTATGGAAATAACTAGCATTTTCCCCCAAAATGATGTATCATGTCCCAGGTGCTGTCCTAAGTGCCCTTAATATTTTGTCTCATTTACTCTTCAGAGCAACCCTGAGAGGTGAGTATTGCTATCATTCATTACACAAATAGAAAGTAAGAGAAAGGCTAAATGGATCTGGTAACTTCACATGGCTTGTAAGTAGCAGAGTTGGGACTTGAACCTGACAGACTAGCTCCAGGGCTCAAGCTTTCAATTGGAAGCTGTTCAGCCTCTTTGAGGAGTGAATTCATCCTCATTTTATATTAGGAACAAACTTCAAGGGTTAAGGTGTGTGCCAAAGGTCATCCAGCCTCCAAGTGGCAAAGCTAGGTAGCAATTATGATAAAAGTCACAAAGATGTTTACTCAGGGGGAAAGATGGGATCATGCTCAAGAACAGAACTATGGGGAGTTGCTGGTAAAACTCCATTGCTTGACGTGGTTGGTGGTGACACAGGTATTTATTTAAAAATTATTCTTTAAACTTCATGCACTTTTCCATATGCATGATTTGTTTCAATATCTTTTTAAAGATAAGCTTGTGTCTAGCACAGTGTTTAGCAAAAATAAGGTTTAATTAAAAGTGTCCAAGAACAGAAGGCACTGGGAGCTTAAAGACATGCATGTTTTTGTGTTCTGAGGAAGAGACACAGACTGGGCTTTAGAAAGAAGGTGCCCCTGGAGAGAAGCAGGTGTCAAAGGTCAAGGAAACAGGAGGCTGATGTAGTGCACCTCCAATGGACTGGGCTCACAAATAAATAAGCGGCTAGTTCTTTCCTCTCTGTGCCACAGACGCTTCCCCAATTTACAAACACTCTTTATTGATCCATATGTTTTATATTATGGGTCTTCTGCTCTTCCATATCACTGACATAACAGATTAAAAATCATTATGCATTTCATTTAAGCACAACTGAAAACCCCAGTCTTGAGGTTTTGAATGTTTTAATGGCATTAGGAAGAGACTGTGTTAATAGGGTTCCAGTTCCAGACCTTCTCAAAGTGCTGAACTTCCTTGGCTACTGGCTA